ATCCACTTTGATTTTCTGTAAAGCATACAAAGCATCACTTATTAATCAGTTAATTATCTCACTACTTGGAAATGACTGTATGTCCATTTAGTCAATCTCTTCTACTTATGACTCAAGAAATCATGAACATGATATCAACAAATAAGAGAGCCAGTCTTCTCAAAAATATCCACTCCAACAAGACCATGAGCATTTGAATGCAGATCAGTCACTCTGACAAAGTGATGAATGGAAACGACACACAAGGGAGACTCATTGTATAACTTCAAACCAACTACTCATTTGGGAATAGAGGAATATTAACTTTTTGTTCTCAAAATTCTGCTTTGAAAAGTGAAACTGTAAAGATAGTAAGTCCCTCCTCACATCTGCCCATCTGAAGGGGCACAGGAGAATGAATTATCCAGCTTCTGTCCTTTATGAACTGACAGCAAGATTTTCATCAAAGAGTTTTACTAAGACTGGAACTTCATAAAGGCAGTGAGCTTGCAGTTTTAACACTGAAGGCTCTGTTTGCAAATAATAAGAGGCTGATTTGGCATAAAGAAACCAGCAATAATTCTACTATTAAATTATACTTTAGGAGAATGTAAGAGGAGAGAGATGAAGGAATAAATAGAGCAAGAAAGTAGGAAACTGTCATTGACCCATCAAGCGAGGCACTGAAGGAAAAAACAAAGCCCATAAAATCTGAGACTTGGGAGATGGGAATCCTAGCTTCTCCCACATGGTTAATTTATTCTGGAAAAATCTATCAAAAATTGAAATTCAAAATTCCTTTTATTTACCTATAAGGCAACGTTACGTTATCAAAAGGTACTAGATGATTGAAGTGTTACACTTTTCGTAGGTTTTTTTTCTGTCAAACCAAGAAGTAGAGCTTTCTCTTTCATCTTGTGTTTCTGGTAGGTGATCTCCAGTACTGAAGTGGATAAACTTATCAACTAATTTCACATGCAGCACTGAGAAGTCATCAGGTGCTAACAACTCATTACTCATACGGGTAAGATCAAAACTAATGACAGATGAAACATCCTTTCTTGTTATTAGTCCCCTGAGTCATCCAATTCCCACTGTATTGATCTTCATTTTTTGCTGCCTGCCTCTATATAACATGCAATACTGATGCAGGTAGCCCCTCTGACTCAGACTTTGGGCTCACCCACCTATGATTTTTGAGTGAGGTTAGCTACTATGACACTGCTTTCCTCTGGAGTCTCTCACTCCATCTGACCAGGCTACTGAGACTGCTGTTTGGTTTTCAGCAGCATTTTTTTATGTTTAAGCACATAAATTCTTTAGTTTTTACCAAGCATACTACTACTAGTGCTCAAACAAAAACTGGTAAATAATGATCATATTAATTCATTTGCTAATCAAAGTGGAATATCTCAATATCTTCATGATTTCCCAGGTAAATGAGAAATAAGCATTTTCTGAGATCAGGAAAAACATTTAATAAAAGATAGATATAGATATAAATATAGATATAGATATAATAGTCTTTCTTAAAAATGGGAAAACATAATGTCTTTATGGAAAAGACACAATATCACCTTCACATATAGGAAGGAGAAAAAACTAAAGACTTTAATGGATTATATTTCCCAGTGAAAGTTAAATTAATGTTTTCATTTTTCTCTCTAACTCAGAAGGAGATGTGAAAAAAACACCTTTCTACTGATCTCCTTTTCCTATTTTCATTGGTTCAAGCTGTGACTACTTTCCAAAATTACTGAGCCATGCATCAGAAACAGCTAGTAATAACTAGTAAGAATATGTTTTTCTTGAATGCTTTTCATTCTGTCTCTGTTTGCATTCTTCAAGTGAACTTACATTTCTCACTGTTCTCCCTGGGCCTTCAAAAACATTGCTGGTGTTATGCTCTCAAGCTTACACACCACTCAGCTGACATATTTTCCACAGATTTTATTCAGTACCAAGCATATGCCAAGTACTACATATTAATAAAGCATCACACTGATATTCCATGATGACCGTAAGACACCACTGTATCACTGCATCTTTTTAATGAAATATTCATGTTATGATTAACTTAAGAAACTTTCAGTACTAATACTGACCAAACCACTGCCCCCCACAAAGAGACCCAAAATGAACCCTAAACTATTGCAGTGCTTTGTTGGTAAACTCTGAATGCTTCTTTCTCCTTCAAAGTGAACAGAAAAACTTTGGCATTTGCTTCCTATCTCTCCTTAGTTAAAAAAAAAAAAAAAAAAAAAAAAAAGATGTTTTAGAACTCGTTCTATTCTCTATGATTCATATTGCAACTCCCTACATTAATCATTTCAAGTAAGTTTTTTTTTATCCATGTCCAGGTCTAATGGTGAACCATGGGCCAAGCAAATTGCCTTCTCTTTATTGCTAATACTCTAATCAGTGTTAATAAGAAACGCCCATGTCAATCTTCATGCAATTATGATTGCTGACCAGCAAGATGTCTATATAAAATATCTTCACTCCTCCAAAACATTTTAAATAAGTGGAGACAAATACATTAAGCCCTTCTTTTGTTCATCTAAATGCATACTCACATAAAAGAAGCAAACTCTCCTGCCTACACTTTTCTTTGGAGCTTTAAAATTTTCAAATTTTTATTTGCTATCTATGAATATATGGAATATAAAGCAAAATGATTCCTCATATTTTCAAAATTTCACAAAGAGAAATAATCTTTAACTTAGAATGATATTTTTCTGAAGCTCAACAATGGGCATAGTGTATAGAATATTATCCGTATTTCAAATATTTCTCTGTGTGGCAATTTTACTTGTGAAAACATTTAAGGAATTAGTCAGTAAATTAGATAGTATAATCACATCATTTTGTTTATTATAATCACAACATTCTGTTAAATTCAAATACCATTCCCCAGGCTGATTTTGCTAATGCAGCCATCCTTAGATATGGTCAGTAATTTTGCATTAAAGAAGTGACTGCTCTTTCAGCTAGGTTCTTACTTGCTGTTTTGAGAAGCAGTACTATGAAATAAAAGTACACAAAAATAAAAATAAATCTATAATAACATAATTAAAATGTTATCCTCTAAGACCCTATTCCTACAGACAATTTATGGACATTCTTAGTTTTTACAAGTTCTTTAAAGGACTCTTACAGATCTTTTCTAAGTGCTTGCAGGAATATGATTTCACTGTGGTAGAGCTACCCATTTTGCTTCTGCCCACCAAAAAAATCCCAAACAATTGCAAAGCTCTGGTTTTTATGGGACATAATCCTGGACAGATGGCTGCATATAAGACATTCTTTTATGCATAGGCACATACACACACATATATAAATATATGAGCATGTAAAAATATATATGTATATATTTTAACTGCAGAGCATCTACTTTTGATGCTCATTTTGGTCATCTTCATATGGATGCCTTTGTGGGTATTAACAGTACAAGCTTTTATTATATATATTTGCACTATTATCATCATGATCCTTAGACAACAGTATTGCCACATTTCCTAGCAATCAACAGTTTTGAGTTCAAGCCAAAATTTTTGTTTGCTACATAAACACAAACTCCTGAGACATTAAATTAAATCTGCTACTCAACACAAAGGTTTGAATATTTCAGATTCCATTCAGCATGGAGAACTGACAGGAAACCATATCAATTTAACTAAAATGAAAGTTGTACCGTTTTGGTGGGGCTTTTAGTCATGTCTAGCAAAAATTACAGCCCTGGTATTTGAGGTGGAAAATCTGAAAAGGGAAAAAAATCAACTCTCCTATGATTTTTCTTTCCCTCTGCAATTAATAAAGTTAGTGCATCAATAGAAAAGGTGTTACACTGGTGACTGCTATGTACTACTGTATATATATTCTAACATAACCTTTAAAAGTATGATGTCTATACCAGTAAAAAAAAAAAAAAAAAGAAAAGGTATTTTGGTCTGTCTATTTTGAAATCCATAGCTCACAACATAAGGCACAGACTAAATATTAATATGGATTATTTAATACAAGGCCATGCTGAACTAACTCATGGGAAATAAAGGTCCATTCTTCAAAGGCTAGTTTTTAGTACAAGTAATTTCTAAAGTCCTGAAGCTATTTTGTACAGTCTTAAGACTGCTATGCTTCTTTGTGACAGAATTATTTACCAGCAAAAGCATTCCTAAAGTGGAAAACTAAAGTAGAGAATTCTTCTTGCTGTTCTGGACAGTACAAACCTTTATAAATACTTTCTATGTAAGTACTACCTTTTGCATTACAAAAATTGCAACTGTTACTAGATTATGGAAAAATTAGGTTAAACAATGTAATCTATTTCAAAGGACACATTTATATATATGCACACACATATATCCTCATTGGAGTATATGTCCACACATATAATGCATAAATTGATGTAAAACTATGTAAATACCTGAATAAATATATGCTATTTAGTTAATAAATAGATTTTGTGCCTATGACAATACTGACTTGGATTAGCTATTAAGTTTACAGCTGTCTTGCAAATCATCATAGACATTTGAGTCTTAGTTTCTCAGGGACAGGCAGCCAGCTGCAAAAGCAGATCATGACTGTTGTAATAAATATCACACCCCCTCTTCAGTATCAATTGCAGAGCGCAGAGATGATTTTTTTTTTTTTTTTTGTGCTGCTACTATGGCATTTCTTACCTTCATGTACTGACCAATACACTAAAGTCATACTTGCTACAAAAACTGGCTAAAAACCAGATTCTGATCTGCAATAAAAATATTGCCTTTTTGCAGTGAATTAAATATTCCCTTCACTTAATTTACAGGACAAAAACATCTCAGTGTAAGATCACTCCAAACTGAGAGAAACATCAAAAATTTCTATAATTATTCAAAGGATCTGGGATATTTCCTCCAGACCAGATGACTTTGAATTCCCACAGCACTCATTTAAAGCTGCTTTTCCTTTGAGCATCCCCTTATATAAGGTAGAGTTAAAACTTTAAAACAGTATGAATTTACTTTGAGTCTTACCAGAAAAGACACTGGGGATCTTGGAAAGAAAGCTTTTCACTGTACGAATAGGAATCCCATTTTTCTCATCTTGCATGCGGGCTATGACATCTTCCATCTGAGCAGAGAAAGGGGAAAAAAAAGAAAGAAAGAAAGAATAAAGAAATCCAGAATTATTTACTAAAATTAATCTCCAATAAATCCTAGATCAATCTCTCAGAATAACGGCTCAACTCTTGCTATTTCTTTCTTTACGTATATTCTATATTTTTATTGAATAGACTACGAACCGCAAGTAATTTATACATGCACAAGAGTAAAAAATTGTATGTACTCAAAGTCTCTTGAGAAAGAAATAGCAAAGCAGAACAACTTAATTAAAGTTATATTTAGGTAAAAGAAGTTGTCAAAAATCATTGGCGGACATAAAACTTCATGTTTTGATTGTATTAATGATATCGTACCACATATAAAAGCAAAATAGACACATACAGACTTCTAGGGGACTGATACAATTCTCAAATTCAAAACCAAAATAGAGCTTTTAATTTCAAAGCAAAAATTCCTTCTTTTCTTTTGAGAAGGGGAAAAAAATACAGCATGAGGCAATTTTGCATCCCTGGAGACAGCAGACCCAGAAACACAAGATTTCCTTCCAGGTAATTAGGTGAGTTTAAAAATATTTAAAATTGATTTGCTGATTTTTTTAATATATACTATTATATTAGCTCAGTTTTTCCAACTCGATTTTTAGGTTAATTTGGACCATATATTTTATAAACTATGCACAACCCAAAGGTTAACTTTCCTGTGAAATATGAATGGCAAGCCCTTTTACTGGAAAACAGAAGAAATATTTGAAGTCATTCGCTTATTTCATTTTAATAATTTCATAATTGAAGTTTACGCATTTTACATCTTCATTTTTTCTTTCTTTGAATATCTAACTTCTCAAAATATTCAATGAAATTGTGATAAAATTAATTACAACTCTTTTTCCTTTTTAATTAAATCACCAAGATACTCCATATGAAAACCTCTGTGTGATAGGGCATTTTATACTCTTTTACAAGTCAAAGCTTAAAAAAGTTTTCTGTCACCTGTATACCCTAATAGATTCCTAAAGAATTCATTTAAAGTTTATGGCTGGGGTGGGTTGTGGAAGCAGACTAACAGAAAAAATTCTATCATGTCCCTTTCTTCCACTGATGTCAGATGACCCACATTAGCAAACAGCAAAGCAGCATTGGGTGCAGCTGTGCATTCACTGGCCCAATAAGGCAGTTGTATAGAGCCAGGAAACAGAACAGCATTTGTGGTCACCCACAGTGTATGTAGGAAAAAGAACATAAGTCCAATAAAAAAAAATAAATCAGTGAGTGCAACTGCTTATGAGAAACCTATTTACACAGAGGGTGTCTGGAGATTCCCATGCTCCATGTACTTTCAGATCGTACATTGAAAACCCGAGGAATGCAAACCCAAAAAGTACTGAGAAGTAGCTATTGTTAGCAAGATATGAAAAACTGAGACTATTGCTCAGAATTAAGAAATGTGCAAATGTAACAGAAGAAATGAACCAATGTTCATCTGACATGGAATTTAATAATTTAAATAGAAAAGGCTACTAATAGATCGCTGAAGAAATTACCAAGCATACAACCACTATCTATGAAATGGAGTCTGTCCATTTATTATACATGTAGTAACTGAAGGCTTGTATTGACCCCTTCTAAATTCAGTTGGTAAACTGTCTTATTGATTTATTCATTATTCATTAAATGAATAAGAAGTCACTCAAATTCAACTGAATATCTTTGTTGATCAAATTTGATGATAAGTTCCACATGTGGGCAGAGTAAGCTTTTAAGAATATTGCTAGAACTGCAATGTATGTCACACTAGGACAAAGTTCAGAAGACAATTAGCACATAGGGAAACATGATAAAGGTATATTTGCATTATAATAAAGATTACTACAAACAAAGGGCACAAATCTGGAACATAGTATTAGAGGTAGAGAGATGTAGTTACCACTTGCTCAAGAACGTGAGTGTAAATATTTAATGCCCAGCATTGTTAGTGCTGTCAGTAATCTGTCTTTTGAGAGTACATAGAATGAATTGTTAAGTGACATTTACATATGCTTCCCTAAACTCACTTCATGGACACAATTTATTCTAAACTGTATAAAATCTAACTCAGATTGGGACTGTAGCTCTGGGAGAGTTCTCTGATTTTGATTAACAAAGTGAGCTCTAGAGTGTCTGCACTGCAAAATTACACTTTCCCCATCACGTCAAACTCATGTTATTATTCTGTATTAGGAGTGAATACCATCTGTGCACGAGGCAGGTCACACTCCAGACAGCATCATTATGAACTACCTGGTTAACTCAGTGAAAAAAGATTACTTCCTAAGTAGTGGGAATGTTTTGAAACAACACAAAACACAATAACATATGGCTAATTAGTTACAGTTGACCCGGGACTCTGCATATTACATGTTAGACTGCAAAATTCTTATTTATCCTGTCCCTTTTTATACAAAAATCGAAGAAGTCACTTGTGGTTTATTGTTATCTTAAATCTTAAACGTAAGAACTCAAGAAAACAAAGCACAATTTTTAAAAAACAGTTTCATTAAAGATTTAAAACTACCTAATCCAACATATGCAGGTACATAGTTTAACTTTCAATACATGTAGTGGCTTTTTGTATTTTAGCTGCTTTAAATTCAGCATTCAGAAGAGATTTAAATTAATCTCTTCCACTGACAAACATCTCAATTATATTTGGGAAGCAGCAGTCAAGGCAGTTCTCAGTCATTCATCAAAAATGACCTAAGACAATGAAAAGGACAGAACTGTTTAATTAGAATGATGAAAGAAAATCTTAATCTAATTTTGCTCAAGAAGCCTAATCTGGGAAACATACATAATAATTTTCCTTCCTGATGTATCACTGTTTTCTTTTGAGTTGCCTGACCTGAGGCTCAAAAGTAAAATATAGGCTTCTTCATTTTACCTCAGAATTAGACTTCCACAGTTCTTTTCATATGTTGTTACCTGGCTAAACTTGACTGTCTCTGATCTTGCAATGGAATCTTTTTCAGCCCTAAACATTCTCAAAGAACTTAGAGATAAAAAATTCACAAATTGCCCCCTGATCATTCTGCAAATTAAACTCAATATGCTTTAAAAAGGAAGTTGTATAAGCGCATCTTTTAGCTTTTTGGTCATCATTATACATCATTAACAGGGAAAGTGTAGCTAGGAAGAAATTGCCAGTGCATCACAGATTCTACAGCCCTTCTAAATAAAATTATGTGCAACTTATTTACCAGTGAGGCAATTCTAACCCTGACAAAAACTCAGTAGCCTTCTGATGCACTAGCAACTCAGAACAAACTTAAAATATTAATATTTAGAACTTCATTTGTCTCCCCGTGAAAATAATTTGAAGCTTCATCTTGACACATAAGGACTCTGTGAAATCTATTTCAAAGACTAACTATGACAACAGTGACAAAGCATTTTATAATGAAGCAAAAAGAAAGAAGATAGCAATATCCTGTAATAGAAAGGCTACAGCTTACAGGAGTTATTGAATAATAACTACTCACTCTTCTCCAAACACACTGGGAGCTGGGCATGCAGGCATGCATAACTTAGCCCAGGAGCAGACCCCATAGAGAACTAACGTGCCCACAAAGTCAGTAATATCTGACCATGACAAAAAGAGATTAAAAGTTATCAAATGGGAAGTAAAGGTGCTGCTTCTCTTAAATTTCACTGCCATGTGGTTTGAGGGGAGAGACCCTGATCTTTAAATTTTTTATCTAAATATGAATTTCATTGCTAACCATCTGCACATCTTGCAATAATAATCAACTTTCACCATAAGTCAGCATCACTGCATCTTAAGAATTGTGTGGGGGGGGAAGGGTTATTAGTTCAAAGACAAGAAAAGTCAAAAGTGCAAAAGGTTTGCAAGTCCAGGACAAGAACTTTTTTCTTCATGTAAAATTGAACCTAGATCAACTCCACATAAAGATGATCACGAGATACAAGGATTCCAATAGTAGAAAAAGTAATTGGTCTGGAATTAACTGAGGTTCAAGAGATAAATGGTAAAAACTTGAAGCTTTGACCTACTTAGACATATACAGATATATCAATTTGATTTCTGTTCCTAAAAAAAATAATTCAGTGAGAGGGAATTAAGAGTATACCCAGGGACACTAGAATGAAACTGAGTTAATTTTGTACTCAGTATCGTACCTTGGAACAGGGGGTTGCTCTTATATTGAGTGTACTGGGGTCCACCCATGCTACAACATTCTTAATTTTGCTAAAATCTTTTTTCTTCCTTTTACACAAATGCAAGGGGTGAAATAACCTGAACCAGCAAACTACAAACCTCATCCAAACTTGTTAAGAAGTAAAAAGAGTTACAGTATGTAAAGATTTCTTACACACTATGCAACAAGTTTCCTTAGAGATTTTTTTCCCCTCCTTACTTCCTTAGACATCTTCCCCTTGCTACTTTATTAGTTATTAGTGCAGCTGGCAAGAAGGTTGCAGGAGGTTTCCTTAGCCAGCCACCCATACAGAGGTACATCGCTAGTAATTAATTACCTCTGTACCTGCTCTTCCTTTCAACAGTGCTCCTTTCTTGAGCCCCATTGGACTACTTATGGTCTGTCTCGCATGCTGTCAATTATGCTACAGATTTTCTGTTGAGACCTTCACATTTACATGAATGGCTAAACTACCTCATCAGAGTTTCAGTTTAGGAGCCTCAGTCTTCCCATGTGAGCTGCTCTTTGCCCACACTACACATGCCAACAATTACTGCAATATTCTTCTTTAATCATCACGGTGCCACCTGAGAGATGCCCAAATCAGTGAACCAGGGGTCTTTGTTCAGCTAGTTAGGCTGCATCACTGAGAAGAAAAGAGCACAAAATACAGGAACTACAAATCCTAGGAGGCTGCACTGACAAGCACAGATACAGGCAAACTGATTGCCTGATCAAATATTTTGCTCACCAAAGTAAAACAAATAATATCAGTTTAGGAGTGCTGACAACCATTTTTCTAAATCAAGTGTATA